TCCATGTGCTAGTAAACCCGATGTCACCATGTATAGTGTAAATGCAATGGGGCGACTACCGTACACTGTATCATTAGATGTAATGGGTACCACTATCCAAATGGAGATTGATACAGGAAGTGCTGTCACGATTCTCAGCAGCGCAGATTTCTTGCAATGCAATGGTGTGCTGAGTAACCTGATGGAATCCAGTATCAACCTTGTGTCCTACTCTGGAGATGTGATTAATTGTCTCGGGGAAGCGGAAATGGAGTTCCGAATGGGCACACAATTGCACACACTATTGGTGAGGGTTACAAATGGAAACCGTCCATCTATTCTGGGCAGAGATGCAATGGCTTTGTTCAAACTCCCCTGGAAATCAATTTTCGAAGTGCACCAGGTCGAAAAGTCTGGCGCTAAATTCATTGAGAAATACCCAGGGTTGTTCGACACCTCAGAAGTGGGAAAGGTGAAAGGCGTGCAGGTGAAATTGCATGTGTCTGATGAGAGCCCTGTTTACCGAAAGGCAAGGCCGGTACCACTGTCAATTCGGGAGAGCTATGTTGAGGCTCTGAATAAATTGGAAGCAGATGGTATAATCGAGAAAGTCACGCATTCAGAATGGGCCTCCCCCACTGTCACGGTAGAGAAATCAGGAGGTGGGTTGAGAATCTGTGGTGACTACAGTGGCACTATCAATCTGCATTCTAAATGCGAGCAATACCCGCTACCCACTCTTGAGGAGCTATTGCACAAATTGGGCCCGGGGTCTAAATTCACGAAGCTGGATTTGTCGCAAGCCTACCACCAGCTAGAGATAGCACCTGAATGTCGGAAGTACACCACGATCAATACCATGCAGGGGTTGTATCAGTACAAACGACTCCCTTTTGGTTTTCACAGCGCCGTATCTATTTTCCAACGGGTAATGGAAGAAACCCTTAGCGATTTGCCAGGATGCGGGGGCTACATCGACGATGTGTTGTGTACTGGTCGTGATGAGGAGATCCATGAGAAAAATGTGGATCAAGTGCTATCTTGCCTAAATGAGAAAGGATTCAAGCTCAATCCTAAGAAGTTCAGCTACATGGCGGATAAGCTAACGTACCTCGGTCATCAGGTAACCGCGCAGGGAATCGCACCCTCGCCTGATCGAGTGAATGCCTTGAAAGTCGCAAAGCCGCCTAACAACGTGAATGAATTGTACTCTTTTCTGGGTGCGGCAAATTTTCAACGGAAATTTGTACCTCGGTTCGCAGAGATTGCTGCACCACTGTACAACCTGCTCAGGAAAGAAATGAAATGGCAATGGAGCAAGGCAGAGGAAGATGCATTCCAGGCCTTGAAAGATGCAATGTGTGAGCATACGCTATTAGCACACTACGATGTCAAGAAGCCAGTCACACTCCAGGTGGACGCTTCTCCAATGGGTCTAGGTGCCGTACTATTGCAAAGGCAAAAGAATGGTGATGTTTTGCCGGTTGCTTACGTGTCAAGGAAATTGACACCGGCTGAATCGCGTTATGCACAAATCGAACGGGAAGCCGTAGCTGTGGTTTTCGGTGTTACGAAGTTCCAGAAATACTTGCTAGGGCGCCACTTCACGCTTCAAACCGACCATCAACCACTATTGAAGTTACTGGGAAACAACGAACCAGTTCCTACACTTGCATCAGCTCGCATCAAGAAATGGGCACTAATGCTAGCTGGCTATGATTATGAGATCAAGTATTTGCCAGGCAAGGAAAATGTCTACGCGGATTTCCTGTCTAGGCAACCATGTGAGAATATCAGTCCGTCTGCAGAGGAAATGGTTACGGTTCGTGTCTTGCTAGTGGAGGAAGATACGATAATCAAAGCAGACGTAGTGAAATCGGAAACAGCTCGTGACCCTGAGCTATCTAAGGTGCTCTACTATGTAGTGAATGGTTGGCCTAGCTCAGTACCCCAATCGTTTCGGTCTTACCACAATAAGAGGGATGAGCTGTCTGCGGAAGATGGTATCCTATTGTGGGGACAACGAGTTGTCATACCCAAATCACTAAGAATGGTATTGCTACGTGATTTGCACACGGAGCACTTTGGCATGGTCAAAACCAAGCAAATGGCACGACGGTACTTATGGTGGCCAAATGTGGATCAAGAGATTGAAATGTTAATCAAGGCATGTGCTCAATGCCAAGAAAGTGCGAAATGTCCACCTGCCAAGTCGGGAACCTGGTCATGGCCAAACGGTCCTTGGAAACGGGTGCATATCGACTTTGCAGGACCATTCATGGGCAAGATGTTCCTGGTTGTGGTGGATGCATACACAAAGTATCTGGATGTAATTGCAATGTCTAATGCCACGTCTGCAACCACTATTGCGGCTCTGCGGCACGTGTTCTCTGTGTTTGGTCTGCCGGAGCATCTTGTTTCAGATAATGGAACCCAATTCACGAGCGAGGAATTCAAGGCTTTCCTCCGTGCCAACGACATTGTGCACACCCTGACGGCTCCAGGCCATCCGGCTACGAATGGACTTGCTGAGCGCTATGTGGGTGTGTTTAAGCAGAAGTTGAAGGAAATGGGTGCAACGAGCGAACCACTGCAAGCTCGGCTCGACAGGTTTCTGCTAACGTACCGCACGACACCCAACCATGCCGGCAGAACACCTGCGGAGATGATGTTTGGACGCCAGCCACGCACGCGGCTCAGTGCTCTGCGTCCCTCGCAGGTACGTCAACAAGCAAAGGCTTATGAGGACGGCAATCGCGTCAAGCCAGCGTTCACAGAGAGTGACTCTGTGTTTGCGCTCAATTTCGGCAAAGGTAATCGTTGGGTCCCGGGACGAATTGTGCGTGTCCTCAGTGACTACAACTATGAAGTACAAGTGGGTGATGTGTTGTGGAAGCGTCACCGAGATCAGTTGCGTCTACGGTCAGTTCCGGCAAGCTTGAGTGCATCGCTGCCAGAACCACTGTTGGATACAATCGATCAGACGTCACCGTCACCAGTGCTGTCAGACGTAGCAGAGTCGTCACTGGCCAGTGATTTTCCGGCTAGCGTCTCGCCACAGTCTGCTACTGTACAAGTTGAGGCGGATCCTCCTTGTGAGCAGTCTGCTCCTGAAGTTGGTTTACCACAGGTTGAGAATACTCCCTGTGAAACCACTGTTAGACGTTCGTCTCGGCGTAGTGTTCGTCCGGATAGACTGATTGAACAGCTTTGAGCCGTTCCCTGATATGTCATTGCTGGACTGTTTAGCGAACTAGTAATTATTACCATGTACAATAGTGTGCAAGATCCTTGGTATTGCTAATATTGACTGGCGGATTCCTGCATCAGATTATGTTATTGTAGTGCTGTGTCAAAGTTTAAGAATTCACGTACGGTGGATTGATGAACTTATTTTATGTGTTGCTTCAACGATTTTGAGGTATTTAATTGTGGTAGAATATTCCCTGGAACATTCTTGAAAGGGGGCAGTTGTTGTGTATGCAAGTTAGTCATTATATATCTACTACACCGTTTGTTACTGTATTGCGCATGCTCGCATATGGTTGTTGTTACTTTACCTGACCAAGAGGAATGGCTTCCGAATTGCTAGTGTTTGTGTGTGTCAGTAAGAATGCATGAGTGAATGGAATGTTAGTCCGCAAGGGGACATAACATCTCCATTACTAGCACAGTCTCTAATACTAGCACACTGTGAGCACCTTTCGAAACATTATAAGCACAGTCTCCATTATTAGCACGGTCTTGGTGGAAATCAATGCTGCATGCATGATATCAAGAGTACATAACCCCCCAGAGTGTGCAACGCCGATCCAGCTCTGTGTAGGGTCTTGGTCGAGCGGAATCGGATCTTCTGATGTCATGCGTACACTTCACACCAGCGCAAGGCCGGTCTCGAGGCAGGGCACCATTGTTTTTGATCCAAGAGTACCCGCGACTTCCCGGGTTCCCCTCGGATGTGTACGGTATTATGACGCAAAGATCCGATTCCGCTCGACCAAGACCCTATGCAGAGCTGGATCAGGCGTTGCACACTCTGGGGGGTTATGTACTCTTGATGATATCTAGCATGTATTTCTTCTTGCTCTGTATGGATGTTTGGTTGAAAAAATATAAGCACGGTCTCCAATATAAGCGCGGTCTCCAATATAAGCACGGGGTAGAGGGGTGTTGAAAAAATATAAGCACGGCGCTTATAATAGAGAATATACGGTACCAATATACAGGCAAATTGTACTAAAGTACCATACAGCTCTGCATCAATTTTGCCAATGCTGTTTATTGTACATAGTTCACAATCGCTGCAATCGCTGCCATTTCTCATAAATAATATTGTCATGCAGTATAGTTACGAAATACACCGCCAGGATGCCACAATACAAAGATGGCTACATTTTTTCAACCAACATGCAATTATTGCGAAAAAATAAATATTTCCATAATTTCGTGCCGTTGGTTTGTACACAATTTCAGGGCTAAAATAACCTTACCCTGTCATGGCGATATCTCTGAGGAGTTGAATTCACCTAGTCTCCCTTGTGCAAAAAATTCCCTCGTGGTGCTGCCAGCTGCAATGTAATGGCAACCCAGAATAGGGTGAAAATCGAAAACGATAAATTCCTCGCCTCCCGTCCATCCAACTGCGCTGGTTGCATCAAGTACGATGTTTAGAAGACGAGTGGCATCCGACTAACGACTGGCAACATATTTCTTGAAGAAGGAAGCCCTCATTTCACCGACTGGCCTCGAGGTAGGCAACAAATCGACCGACAATTTACTGACCGGCGTCGTCATCTTTCCCGGCATAACGTCTGCATGTATGGTTCCCGCGCAGAAAATAAAAATCGGGCCAAAACAGGGTCTGGCGCACGGACTGATATCACACAGCTTTTTGCTTTTGTTCCATGCGTGTGATCCATGATCCAGTGCAGTTCTTCCCGATCCCGGCGGCATCCATCCGGCCGACTGAGCTGGAACATGAAAATAAAGTCAGGAGGAAAAAAATTCTGCGGCTTGAAAAGACTCGCTGCCATGCCCCGCGGTTTGTGGTAACCTTTCGAAAACTTCTTCTCTTGCTTGATTCATTGAACGGCTTCTTTCAATCTTTGCGCACTACATGACTCTAATGACTGTACACTCAGTAGCACTGAAGTGTTGTGGTATTCGAGTTCGACGAATCTTCCACGCCGGTTCATCGCTACTTCCTTGCTTGAGCCACAGTGCTTGTGAACCATTGTTACCCAAATGCTCGCGGCTCGCAAGGATTTCCGCGTAGATGTGCCGGCGGCAGCATCGTCTCGGTTAGATCCGAGTTGTTCTGCTAGTAGTATTTTTTGTTCAGCTGTGCTTCGACGGTAGCATGAACGAGCAAGAGGCCGAGCGGCGTGTGCTGGCTCTAGCCGCTCGCGTTGTGCACACGGACGACGCTGATCTACCCGCAGTGCTGCTGGGTATCCAAGACGTCCTGGATGCATGTGCGCTGGGCAGCCGGGCAGCTAAGCTGGCCCGGAGGCAGGTGTTCGAGTGCCAGCTGGCTAGCATGTGCGTGGACGCGATGGGCCTGGACTTCGAGCGGTGTCGCGGCGGATGGACGTCGGCGGGACAGCTACCCCTACTGCTGGTGAATTGCTGCATGGATGCGGGGCTACAGGGAGACGAAGAGTTCGAGCAGAGGCTACTGCCCGCGGCCGTGCAGATGTTCCTGTCGTTGCTGCAGCGCATACAACAGCGATACATGACAGTGCGGCAAGACGCGGCGGCAGCAGTCACTGCGGCTCGTAGTCATGGCGGTGACACACACGGACCGGGACGCGGAGACCCGACGGCGGAGCGCAAATCTCTCCAGCGTGCCCTGGTGCATGTAGGCGATGCACTGGCCGCACTCTGCAACTGGAAACAGACGCTGACCTCGGCGGCGGTGGCGTCCGGTAAATGGCTAGCCATTCTGTCGTTCGCTAGCCCCAGCGTGGGCGTGATCGCACTGAACACTCTGCTGCGGATCATACATGTAGCGTCCGCGCAGCAACTGGAACGCGCCGGAACGGAGCACTGGTGCTCTCTACTGGATATCCTGGTGTTACAGATCATTGCCGGTTCGGTGGACGTCGTCGGCGAGGACGCTATCAGCCTAGACATACAAAGCAGCATGGAAAGTGTGGCTTCACACGCCGCAGTGTCACACCAGCGAGGGCGACAACCGAGTACGAGTGTCCGCGGCAGCAAGAAACGTCGCGTGCAGCTCGCCTGCAGCATCGTGAGCCGCCTGCTCTCCGCCGGCGCCGTCTCCACGGAAACGCTGGGACGGCGGTACTACGCGGCGCACGACCGCGTGAGCCAGTGGATTGGCTGGGGTTTCGACGACGTGCTCGGTGTGCTGTTGAAGACTCTCCGACGGGCATCGGCGCGTGTGAAGCGCGCCCAGCAAAAGGAGGAAGCCGCCACTCGCATTCAGTCGCGATGGAGAGCTCACAAACAGCAGCAAAACTGGCAGAAGGTAAGAACTTGGCTGTTGGTATAAGGCCATGGTAAAAAATATCTTTGATTCTCAAGTACGCGCGCACCGATTTTTGGCGGCGCACCGACGAATTTTTTTATTTCTATGTATGCATATGGGCGCATGAAAACGGTCAATGCGAAAGGCATGAATCCGGGAGTAGTAAAATACCGGTATTTTTCAACTCCCTGGCCTGAATAATAAAATAATTATATGAACCTGTTACGTACATATGTGTGACCCTATCTTTGGAAATAAAAAAATTGTGGGAAATAAAATAAAAAATCGCTCGCTCGCACCGATTTTCACAGGCTCATGACCTGAGAATCAACTTTATTTTTTACCATGGCCTAAATAGGCTAAAGCCGGCAGGGAAATTCATTTCGGGGTAATAGCCGAAGCAGGCCGAAGCAGGCAGGGGGCGCAGCGCCCTTTTACTCTGATTGAGCACCCCGGTGAAAAAGTGCACCCCCCCCCCCCCACCCATTTGTTGATTTTGTGTTTTTCATGCCATTCAACAAAAATGCAGTCGACAGTCGCTACTAGAGGGTTCAAAAGGCACATTTGTGTGGGGTGAACTGTGAAGTGGGGGGTTCGCCCCCTACGTTGCATTTTCCATGGCAAGACGATTTTGGAAAATGGAAAAATGGGTTACTGGGCAACTGTTTCCCCTGTCCGCTCCCCCCCCCCCTCCCCCCCCCCCCCCCCTCCCCCCCCCCTACTATTTGACCTGGTTAGAACCCTGTACTGTAGAATATGTGTGGCAGTGGATCAGCTGCCCCGCGCCGGGTTGTCTCCACTTGAAGTAGCCAGTGTACTTCGTAGTACAGTCAGACCTCGCTTATCCGGTCCTCTTTTATCCGGATACCTCACCATCCGGAAGAAAATCGTTGGTTACCGATTTACAGCATATGGCATGCATACATACAGTTTGTGTGTTCGATTATCCGGTTCCCTCGCCTATCCGGACATTTTTGTGGACGGATGTGTGCGGTTAAGCGAGGTCTGATTGTACACTGTACACTGTACACGTACTCATTTCCAGAACATTAGTCTATAGCCTACGGTACTGTTGGGCGGCTGAAGAACGACCAGGCTAGAATTTCACCAAGCACAACATCCCACTGCGGTAAACACAGTGCCTGTACCGTGCATAGTCTGTAGTGCATGAACATAAGAACGGTCTAGCGACTACAGGGCTGACCCGTTCTTCCCCGACCGTGAGTGCTGTACTGACGGGCGCCGAAGAACGGACCGCGGAAGAACGGCCAGGCTAGAATTTCACCAATTTTTAAGGTCGGTGTAGGCTGGACCTTTTGCAAATAAGAACGGAAAGCGTAATATACACTTTAATGTACACTCAGACGTACAACTCTGCATAAATGTACATGTAAAACTGCACCACGATCTCGAGCTGGTTGGGAGGACCCTCAAGACCTCGGCAGATCTTGAGGAGCTGAGGAGCATCGCCCAGAATCGCGGGGCGTGGACCTACCTCAGCGGCCGTATCCTGGAGAGATATGTTGCTGCTCACAGATGAACCCTGATAATGATCAGCAAGTTCAAATTCAACTCGGTTGAGCTGCTCGTTTGCTTGTTTTAATTGTATTCTATTTTCGTCACGCGTTTTATATCGCATATGTTTTATATCGCGATCAATATCCTGTTTGGCTGTTGTCGCTTCGGCTTATGCGAAAGCTATACATGCTGTGTATATTTACATTGCATTGATGCCAACGCGGAGAAGCTTCTAATAATAATAATAAAACTGCACCATCGAATAAGTACGAAACTACTATGTCAGTTAAAAATAAGAACGGGCTAGGCTAGAACCTTGACCCCAGTTCTTCGGCGCCCGATACTAAGGTATCTGCACTTCTGGTAACCGCCGATGTGAATGATTCTTATCTCACACTGTTGCAGACGTGCGCAGCGGCGTTGCTGCTGCAGCGATGGTGGAGAACAACCAAGCAACGCCGCACCATCAAGACCAGCGAGGCGAAGCGCTCGTTCGCCACAACCTACCGCAGCTCGCTCTCCCGCAAGCGTTCGTCGGTACATCGACACAAGGCCAAGGCCTCGACGCTGGGAGTCGTCAACACCGATGGAGTCGGTCAGTTCCTGGCTGTGCAGGCCGCGCTTACTCTGCAGCGGTGCTGGCGAGGTAGACAATGCCGCCTGCGCTTGGATCACGAGCGGAGCTACGCTGCTGAGCTTAAACGCCAGCATGCCGCGCAACGCATTCAGCGCACGTATCGAACGTACCGCTCGCGACGCCAGCGAAACCGTGATCTGGTGCGAGCGGACAGAGCCAAATCGTCGCACGCCCCGTCCGTCCGCGTTCACGACCTGATCGCTGACATACCGGACGCTCGACGCATGGAGCTGCAGCATGAGATCACGCGATATCGCCAGGCACATGCGGGGGCAGCGTTCACAACGGGCGACGACCTGCAACGACTGCACGATGACACGCAGAGCGCATGGCATAGATACAGCACAGTGACTGCAGTGCAGTGTGAGCGCCTACTCGAGCGCATCAAGCTACTACGCACTCGTACCGTCACCGACCTGGACACTCTTGGCTCCGCTTCTACCCGCACACTCACCTCAGTGCTGGATGGTGATTCCAGTGGTGTTACTATAGCGACATTCACGTCCCATTCCGCCGCGGTGCAGTCGGTCGCTCGGCGCAAGCACGAGGACATGCTACGCGCGACGAAGCTACGCTGGTGGGAGCATCCGGTGACCTCGGCTGACGATTGGCCGGTGTGATGGTTTTCATGACGGGAGTGTGTATGTGACGGTTGCCATGGCACTCATGTAGATCGACATATCTGCCATGGCGCATGTGACGGCTTCCATGGCGAGTGTGCCGGACCTGACATCTCTGGGATGTGATCACCATGCACTGCTAAGTGTGGAAAACTGACACTTCGAAGATGTGATTATCACCATGCAATGTTGAGTGTGTACCTCACACCTCTGGGATGCAATGTCGCCATGGCCTGCTAAGAAGCATACATGCTTGTCCTCCGAGACACTACGCACATTGCACGGCACTGCAACTCTTTTGTAGCGGTGACTATAATACTCTATACCGGTAACCAAGGATACCTGAACCAGAATGAACCAGTCGGCATCAGTTTCGGTTATGGGATTCAGCGCTTACGGCACGCCTGGACCGCGGATCATCGGTACTGCTCTCCATGACTACCGTGTTGCACTGTGTCAATTGGACCAATCAAATCAGTAGCAGCCGAAGCTTGCCATCATCGAAATGACGTAGATGATGAGCTCCATCCCTCTCGATTAGGCACGGACTAAAACCAACGCAAACGTTTTTAAGGGTTTGCAGTACATTCCTAAAAAGCTGTCAAAAAACTGTGTATTCATACTCGAATCATAGTACATGTTCATGTTAATTCAGCCAGTATCAGGGAATCAATTAGGCCAGCTCATTTTCCAAAACTCAACACTTGAGCTTGAAATTGCCATTTTATTAGCCAGAAACATGCACACACCTTGGTTGTGCGCAGAATGTCCCCTCCCATCACACTAGCTCGTCTCCACCAACCATAACATTAAATCAGGCCGGAATGTCTCCACCAGCAACAAGTTCTAACTAACAAGTACAGAGCAATGCAGCATGTTCATACTTTCATAGAAGATCAAAAGGACCAAGGAACTACAAGTAACGCCAAGAGTATAGAACCCCCCAAGAGCGTGCGACTTCTGATCCCCTTTCTATGGGGTACGCCGACGGCGAAAACTCACATCACGTGGTGCAGTGTCGCAGTTGTACGTTTTCAGCCCGTTTTTAGCGAGCAGCGGAGTAATAAAAAAAGCATTCTCTGACAGAAACTCACTGCGGGTATGCAAATCCCCAGCATGATCATGGCAGATATTCGGGTTGCACGCACGCTATCCTACGTTTGTACGTAGTACGAACATATCTGAGACACATGTGAGTTTTCGCCGTCAGAGACCCCATATGCTTAATAGTTGCACACTCTTCGGGGGTTATGTACTCTTGGTTACGCTATAATGTCCACTAACACCACCAGTTACTTGCATGACAATCAGCTCATGCGATAACATTGCACGACACTGACCGACGGTACTGACGCTCTACAACTAACTGGCTAACAGCTCTAGCACATCTTGGATGCGCACTCCAACAGCCTTCCAACTTGGAGGAAGGTTCCAAGTTATAATGATAACATATCGCATGAGCTGATTGCTTAGTAACTGGTGGTGTTAGTGGACATTATAGCGTAACTTGTAGTTCCTTGGTCCTTTTTTTGTCAATGAATTTATCCTTGGCTCTCCATCCGAGTTCATTCAAACTTTTTTGCATTATTATCTATATTTAATTGTCTCACAGCCCCGAACTATACGCAGCACCAAAAGCAGATGTTTCCACCAACTCATTCGGCTAGTACCACTACACCATGAAAGCAATTCTGAGAAGCACGCAACAGGAGTGAAAGTATACAAATAGTGTTGTCACGGTCATTTTTTGACAAAACGAAAATCCACGATTGCCTCTCCCCACCGGCCCTCAATAATAACTCTTTTCGCAAAAAAAGAAAGAAGATGAGAAGTTAAGAACGGTTCAGTAGGGGAAAAAAGAGAGATTTGCCGTGTGCCTGGTCACGTAGAGTGAGCAACGATAATAATGTTTTGGAAACGTCAAATAAGGCATCGGGCCAGCAGTGCTTGCCTAGGCGAGGCATCGTGCACCATCAACAACATCAGCATGTGTACACGCACACACACACGTACACGCATACCTGTAATAATATACAACAGCGCAGATACTGTTTTTCACGGACCAAAATAATAAAATAGAACACATTGAACAATAGAAATCTGCGGCTAAAAGCAAATCTGCGTAATGGAAACCTCCTGAACGGCTTGCATGTCTCGAGTAAGCTTACACACTGGCTGGATGTGTGCTTCGCAGCAATCCGTCCACTGTGCCAGTGGGCAGGTACTTGAGCCTTCAGCTCACACCGACACTCTGTACAGTTCTCTATACCGTGTGTACACGGCGAACACTCCAGGCACATTGCGGTGGGTGCGTCTACACGTCGACGATGACATCCACATAGTTGGCGGGGAAAAAGCCTGCCTCGCCATTACACTCACCGGCCATCCAATTCTCGTCGATACGCTCCGTGAGGTAGATGGTGTCCCCCTCTCGGAATCCCATCTCCCCTTCGTTCTCCGGATCAAAGTCGTACAGGGCCAGGGCATGCGGTCTGTTTGCTGAGGAGTTGCTGCTGCGTGAGGTCTTTGTTGGGCTCGGCTTCGGTGGCGGCTCGTCTTCGTCGGAGTCCACCTCTCGTCGACGTGTGCTGGTGAAACGGCTAGCGCGCTGCTTGGGTGCGCGGAACTGTGGGGAGTGAGAGAGGGGGGGGGAGAGAGAGAGAGAGAGAGAGAGAGAGAGAGAGAGAGAGAGAGAGAAAGAGAGAGAGAGAGCGAGAGAGAGAGAAAGAGAGAGAGAGAGAAATTAATGAGAGACAGAAGTGTATGGAGAGGCTGACACTCCCTGTTATGATGAACAAAACTGATAATTTGAAGGCCAATGCCAGAGACTTTTACAGGAACTACACGCCATCACTACCCCTGGCTCATCAGAGTGATGCTACAGTGCAGCCGGCCTCGACCTTGACGCTGCCACCGAGAATGTGGCCCGATTTCCACACGTGGAGCACAGTTCTGGGTGATGTTCCTTGAGTTCGGTGTCTGTGCTGCCACCGCTGGGCCACCACCTGTAGTTGTACTTCGAAGTAGCTACAGTAAAACCTGTCAAGGCGACCACTCGGATAAGGCGACCACCTGTCCAAGAAGACCACTGGAACCAGGATCAAGGGATGCTATTTCCAGTCAATTGACCCTGGACAAGGAGACCACCTGGAACAGAGACCACCTTGTGAAGGTCCCTTGAGCGGTCGTCTTAGACAGGATTCACTGTAACTGGATAGGTCTAGAGCAGGTAAGGGAGTCCTTAAATCAATCCCTGCCTGGTCTACACGCTACACTAATCTTGCTGCTAGCACATGTACTCCTACGTAGATCTAGAATACAGACACAAATTGAACTAATTGTGCACTGTGCACGAACGAGTTGTAGTCACAGTGTGGAAAGAGGGCCGCCGCATGTACGTCACCTACTTTGAAATGGCATGCCGCTTTCATTACATACTGTATAAGCAGAAAATTTCGTCGGTCAATAATTTCGTCCAACTCCAAAGAAAGGGAGTTCGTCCGGTTGTAAATTTCGTCCATGGATCATAAGAGTGTATGGAAAAGCTGGACAAATCAATATTAGTCCGGCATTTAATTTAGTCCAACAGCTCCTTGGACGAAAAAGACGAAATTAAATTCCAGACGAATATTTCTGCTTGTACAGTAGTGTGAACAGGGCCTAACCTCGGCAACAAGACACTACGGGACACCAGCCATGTGTTAACAACATGCATAGACTACTGCCGAGCTCTAGTCTGGAGGGGGGGGGGGGGGGGGGGGCAGCTACCCCACCCACCCCCTACTCACTTGCCATTTTTTGGGTTTTTCAGTTCGCACAACCAAAACGCGGCCACAGAAAAAGAAGAAAACAATGAAGCATTCCGGGTGCGCACTGGACACATACTGGCATGTTGTATTTTGTGAAACAAGGCAATATCGGAAAGGGAAAATGGATTAACTGCTCATTTCCCCTCCTCTCTCCATTATTGGAATTTTATCCTGGCTCGAATCCTGCTATTGAACACCACTGTAAGGCGAAAGGAACCCCCGTGTACACACACTTGCTTCATGTACCAGTTTACCAACACTGAACTCCGGCGGTTTTCTGTGCATGATTCTATGCCAGTCACGTACAGGGGCGTCGGAAGGTATTCGACATTGGTGCGGCCCTGAACGGGTGGAGGGTCCGGGGGTCCTCCCCCGGATGATGGGAACATCTAATGGAAACTGGGCCAAAATAATCCATATTCCGTTGCTTCAATATGCCAAAGATGAAATTATTGGTGAGGCTTTGGCCGCACCGGTTCTAACGCCCCTGTTGTACAATGGGGTGAAACTGTTACTAGTATTCTCATCAACTGCCGACGACGAGGCCAACAGCAACACGACTCACCTCTCTCGGTTTTGACGACGCCTGGTCCATTTGCGTCATCAGCTCGGCATGCAGGTTCTGCAGTAGCGATGCCGACTCTCTGTGCATCTCACTCATGGCCTCGATCAGTGCTGATACTTGTCCGATCTACACACAGTGTGTGTGCACAAACAGCAGCAACAGCAGCAACATATCATCATTGGCTTGTGCGTTTAATAAAACACGTTTAGTAGTAGTAGTAGTAGTAGTAGTAGTAGTAGTGGTAGCAGCAGCAGCAGCAGCAGCAGCAGCAAAAACAACAACACCACCACCACCAACAACAACAACAACAACAACAACAACAACAACAACAACAACAACAACAACAACAACAACAACAACAACAACAACAACAACAACAACAACAACAACAACAACAACAACAACAGCAACAGCAATAGCAACAACAACAACAACAACAACAACAGCAGTAGCAGGAAATGAACCATATCCACAGTAGCGGCGACAATTGCAAAACGGCAGCAGAACATTAATGGCGACGGCGATGACGTGAACAACAATGACAATGACACAATACTTTTAAATACGCTTGGTTTCTGCTATAGCCAATGCCAACACGCAGGTGAATTACATGTAGTCATACAGCTTGGCACGGTTGCTGCGACACCGCACAATGTGCAACGTGCAGAACCGTTCACACACACACGCACGCACGCACGCACGCACGCACACACACACACACACACAGTGAGTTACATTAGAAAACACACTTTAGCTTGTGACTTTGTACTTCACACCGTGTGTGTGTGTGTGTGTGTGTGTGTGTGTGTGTGTGTGTGTGTGTGTGTATGTGTGTGTGTGCACTTGCACGCGAGCAGCGCACATGTGTGTATGTGCGTGTGTGTTTTCGAAGTGTGGGGGCAGGTGGGCACTCCCATTTTAGTTTTGCTTTAGGTCAGGTTTAGTACAGGCCAATGTGCCGCCCAATAGATCAAAAACCCGAAAACGAAGACAAGAATTGAGTACTACTTGAGCCGAAAATCAGCCCAACACAACAGATTTCCGAATGAACTGTTATGTTCACGCACACGCACATGCGAGCACAGACACGCACATATACATACAGGGGCATGTGCATGCGCTCGCGCAAGTACGTGCGCCCAGGCATACATGCACACCACAGAGTCTAGACTAGCAGCCACGGTGCGGTTAACCACAGATGGTCCAGATGTAGACAGAGTCGCGGCATGGGCAGATGTTCAGTTTGTGTCACAATGATGATGTCCAAGGGTTTCTGGGGTCACTTGACGCCATGTAGCAGCAGCCCCTGAACCATGCATTATGTCAAGACAAGTCATGATGGTTGGCGATACTGCATGATCAATCAGGTACAACTATACTGGTGGAGATGCATCAATCCCAGCCAATGTGGAAGAAATTAGATCATGACCTCAGAAGTAGCCACTTCTGTGTTGACATTGGAAAGCGTCTGTTCCCCAACATGGGAGATCATGTGGGGCATGACGGGCCTTTTAATTCATTCAACGACGACAACAAACACACAAACAACAACAACCACAACGACAACAACCTCTTATAGGCCACTGGTCATCCTCAGGATAAAGATTACATTTTTATAACAACACATGCGACGCTGTATTTTGTTGTTCGGTGGATCACAATGGGCCAGCACAGCCGTGCCAGCTTTAGACGAACTCGCCATGTACATGTACACGGTGTAAAGCGAATATGGACAGCTGCGCTTGCAAATGCCACATCTGCACATACGCTGCACATGCACACGCCCAGACACTCGTCATGCACACTCTAGATTTCTCAGGGGCTTCTCTATTCAGGTGGCTCTTACCTGCTCGACGTCCCCCTCAAGAAGGTTCATCATCCCGGTTTCCGCTAGCTCCTTACTTTCCTCGAACTTCTCCTCCGCCAGGTTGATCTCCACGTCAGTGACGTTGGAACCCTTAGCTTGTTTGCGCTTCTTCGCGTCGAAATCCAGTCGTCGTCCCTCCATCTTCTTGCGATGATGTAGTATCTCCTTGATGTCCTTGTTGATAAGCATCGTTAGCGGGTCCATGAAGTTCTGCTGAACGTTAATCTCCAACATTTCTCTCTGATCGGCCACCGTCTTGAGCGTGTCAGCCGTGTCGCGCAGCGCAGTTCCGAACGCCGAGTCGTCGCCCAGATCGACCGATGCCTTGGTCATGATGTCCGACATCTGCGCCTCGACGTGCGGATAGCGCAGCTCCTGTTGCTTGCCCGCTATCTTGCCGTACGCTGCTTTTGCGGATATCTTACCGCGCGCAGCCGGATTAGGGTAGAGCAGCTCCTTGACCTTCTCTAGTAGTTTCATGGACACATCGTTGGTAGCGTCGACCTTCTTCTCCAGCTCACGAAACTCTTCCTCGATTTCGGTACCCTTTTCCTTGAGGACTTTCTCAGACATATACTGAGATGCCTTATTGATTTGCTTCTTGAATCCTCCGACCGACATCTTGCAGCGCTGCTTGGTGGTGCTGAAGCCTCCTCTTTTTCACAACAGTTGCTCGCCTAGTCCTCTAGTCTAGCTATATCGTGCGCTCCGTACTCACAACGCCAAGATCCCAACGGCACTAGTGCATTCAAGTCGTCCGAAATTCTAACTTTTTCCGATTGCTTTACTCACACGCGCGCGATACACGACTCCGCAACACAGGAACCAGCTCGCTTGCGCAACGTACTAGCAGGCGTTGACCGCTACAAACACACAAACAATCGCTACAGAAAGAATCGCAACGGAGTGCAGCGAGAAGAACAACGCCGAGGGCCTGAAATTCGCGAGACCCGTCATCGGTCAAGACATGATGAAGTCCTCGCGCTAGAAAACACAGATAAAAATCCGGTGCCTGCTAGCCCTGCCACGGCTGTTAGCTGCACTTGGATCGCGGCAACTTAGTTTTCTGCACGTGAACCATGAAAAATCAATGCATGCTCATGCATGTTCATGCATAACCAGTCAGCTGGCCTGCTCGCCCACGCATTTGACAGGTAACAATTCCATCAAATTTGAGATATCGCTTCGTTCTAAGTCTCAAAACAGTTCTAAAGTCACCAAACCACGCTGGTAATCGATGGCTATTCAATGTTAACATCTTCAGGAAGACTTCAGCCGTTTCCCGAGAGTTTGGGCATCGTTGCCGTTATTTTTCACGGTGTTCTTCTTCCTCCTGTCTGGAGCTGCAATTGCATCCTGGAATTATTTGAAAGGTATTTCGTGCGGGCTGTGGGGGGTTCCAACAGGCATAAACTGACATCGCTATAGGATAACTGGTAACTTTCACCCTTCAAGGAGGTAGAGCAATGAGAATTTTTTTGTGGCGGTCGTCCAATTTTTGTGGCGGTCGTGGCTGTATTTGTGCACTTCCAAGGCTTTCATTCTGCCTGATACTACTCTGTACTGTATGGGAATCGTTGTTTAGGCACATGTAGCTGTCTTATTTGGTAGATCTGCTGTTTTCAATCACTTGGGACACTTTGTCTAGCCTATTTGTCTTTCGTTCGTGCCATCTATCAGTTTTGTGGGGTGCCTTGACCTGTATTTGTGAAGTTCTCGAGTAAAGACCCTAATTCTTGACTGGAGTCACGTCTTGAATTGAATTTGCTGGGTGAGCCCTCGTTCACGCAGTTGTACTTATCGTAATAGTCAATATCTGCTTGCTGGACGGACTAGCGGCTAGAATAGGGATGACCAAATGGTCCAAGTGTGTACTAGTACACGATTATTGTTTCCATCATCGTGAAATGCTCGTTGTGGAATTGCAGTCGTCTGCCTTTGGCACTGAGGACATGAGGAGAGTTGATTGTTACTTCTGCTCAGCAATGAAGCGATCATCAGCTCTCTTTGTTCTAATTATTGAGAGGACATACCGGCATCGCAATCAAGTAAAGATCAGGCAAACCTCGCCAACCTCCAAAGAGAGTCGAAGATATTTTCTCCAAATGCAAAGACGATCTTTGTGAGTTTGTGACTTGCATTTGCGTGCATACATGAGCAAGTCACGGACCACGGCACGTGCGCGGTTACCATGCCATCTCGAACCGACGCCATCTTTCTAAGTTAGTTGCCGCTTCTTGACAGCCGTGCTGCATGCATGCTGCGCAGGTAAAAATCTTGCGTTCTGGATATCTTGACTTGTGACGTTGTGTATGACTTCACGGCTGTCAAGAAGCGGCAACTTAGAAAGATGGCGTCGGTTCGAGATGGCATGGTAACCGCGCACGTGCCGTGGTCCGTGACTTGCTCATGTATGCACGCAAATGCAAGTCACAAACTCACAAAGATCGTCTTTGCATTTGGAGAAAATATCTTCGACTCTCTTTGGAGGTTGGCGAGGTTTGCCTAATCTTTACTTGATTGCGATGCCGGTATGTCCTCTCAATAATTAGAACAAAGAGAGCTGATGATCGCTTCATTGCTGAGCAGAAGTAACAATCAACTCTCCTCATGTCCTCAGTGCCAAAGGCAGACGACTGCAATTCCACAACGAGCATTTCACGGTGATGGAAACAATAATCGTGTACTAGTACACACTTGGACCATTTGGTCATCCCTATTCTAGCCGCTAGTCCGTCCAGCAAGCAGATATTGACTATTACGATAAGTACAACTGCGTGAACGAGGGCTCACGCAGCAAATTCAATTCAAGACGTGACTCCAGTCAAGAATTAGGGTCTTTACTCGAGAACTTCACAAATACAGGTCAAGGCACCCCACAAAACTGATAGATGGCACGAACGAAAGACAAATAGGCTAGACAAAGTGTCCCAAGTGATTGAAAACAGCAGATCTACCAAATAAGACAGCTACATGTGTCTAAACAACGATTCCCATACAGTACAGAGTAGTATCAGGCAGAATGAAAGCCTTGGAAGTGCACAAATACAGCCACGACCGCCACAAAAATTGGACGACCGCCACAAAAAAATTCTCATTGCTCTACCTCCTTGAAGGGTGAAAGTTACCAGTTATCCTATAGCGATGTCAGTTTATGCCTGTTGGAACCCCCCACAGCCCGCACGAAATACCTTTCAAATAATTCCAGGATGCAATTGCAGCTCCAGACAGGAGGAAGAAGAACACCGTGAAAAATAACGGCAACGATGCCCAAACTCTCGGGAAACGGCTGAAGTCTTCCTGAAGATGTTAACATTGAATAGCCATCGATTACCAGCGTGGTTTGGTGACTTTAGAACTGTTTTGAGACTTAGAACGAAGCGATATCTCAAATTTGATGGAATTGTTACCTGTCAAATGCGTGGGCGAGCAGGCCAGCTGACTGGTTATGCATGAACATGCATGAGCATGCATTGATTTTTCATGGTTCACGTGCAGAAAACTAAGTTGCCGCGATCCAAGTGCAGCTAACAGCCGTGACTTGAGTCTGTGTGTGTGTCCGTCATCGATCAGTCTGTAGTTCGTGCGTGAAAGCCGTGAATGCATGCAGCAGTGCACGGCTAGCTGCATGCATGCATCATTGCATGCACAGAATGACAACAGTCACTGAATCAGCTGCAGTGCAGGGCAGTGCTGCCAGTGCAGGCCCACGTCTACATGAGTCACATGACACAGTCACTGACCGGAGTACAGACAGACGTGCTTATGTACATGTCACACATCCTTTATTGCTGAACCACATTGATACAGATTGTAAACCAGGGAGTAGTACCGGCGGTATTGTACTACAGTAAGATCGGGCGCCGAAGAACGCAGGGGCTCGAGCGCAGCCAAGGAAAGTTCTTAATTTTTTGATTCTAGCCAGACCGTTCTTATTCACACGCGCGCGGCGAGTCGAGTGACGTCATGACGTTTGTCATGTATATGTACATGTACATGTAGTGCAATGTACATAGTACAATCATGTACTTCTTAAGGGGGGACGGGAGGTTCAGAGGGTCAAAAAATGAATTTCTGAGTTTTGAACTTTTTGCTATGGAATCTTGTCTTAGGATATTTGAAGCGCCAGAATTTCAAATTTGAGCGTAATCGGTTTAGTAGAAGTGGAGTTATGAGCTAAAGTATGTCGAGATAAATTTCAAATGTAAATACTCAAATGTAAAAGAGAAAAGGACATATGGATACGAGTTTAGAGTAACTCTCCATCACTGTAACATGATACTATATACAGTCAGAAAGTGCAATAACTAGGCACAAAACTGACAGAGTACTGAGACATTCGACGTCCTGACACCTAACTTTAACGTCGAATGTCTCAGTACTCTGTCAGTTTTGTGCCTAGTTATTGCACTTTCTGACTGTATATAGTATCATGTTACAGTGATGGAGAGTTACTCTAAACTCGTATCCATATGTCCTTTTCTCTTTTACATTTATTTATGGCTCAACATCCGAGTTTCAAAATACTCAAATGTTTACAATTGCCTAAATTTGTGATTTTGGTTTAGTCCAAAATCAAGCGTTTTTGATTCAACTTCGCCAGGTAAGCGACCCTGGCTTCTGTTTTTGTAGTCATGGAGAGCTGCCACGTGCTTCCTTGATCGCGTACGCGCGTATGACGTTCTGCAGCGCCACGACGCCCACGCGAAGGAAAAAATCTTTGTTTTTTTGTTTGTGATCGTGAAAGTGAACAATTTTACATGGGGAACCGAAAGAGAAGCTCCAGCAGCTCTGGAAGTGGCCATAGGAGGAAGAAAAGGAGATACTACGCCCCAAAGCAGTCAAGCTCTGTACCAGTTGTGGAAGAAGGCACCGTTGAAGCGGCGCAGAGCGCTTCCTCTCGGAAGATTTCGTCGAGGCCAAAATGGCTTAGTGATATTATTATGATCATGGAATTTGAATCTGAGCTTGTGTGCTCGAGTGACAGTGATTCAGACGAGTCGTCCAGTGATAGCTGCCAGGAGTATGATGATGATGCATTCTATCCTGATGTTGAGAAGTCTGTCTCTGGCTACAAGATCGTGGATTTACAGTGTCTCCAGGAACTGATGGATCAATTAAATTTACTGTCTGTAGGAAGTGCACGAAGGGAGACATGATCGTCAGTAACTGTCATGACACTGGACTCGGATCGACCCTGCGACTTCAATGCGCTTTGTGTGGATACAGTGGAAGTACGTCTCTGAGCAAGAAAATTTGCAGGAGCTATGATCTGAATTGACGATCTGTACTGGCGATGCGATGCATTGGACGTGGCCATGGTGGACTCCGAAAGTTTTGCGGCGTAATGAATTTTCCTGCTCCTGTAACGGAGAAAGCGTACCGCAGCCACCAGGAAGTTGTCCTTGCTGCAGCCGTAAAGCTAGCTGAAACTGACATGGTTCAATCCGCAGCTGAGTTGCGTGCCATGACAGATTCCACCCACGTCGCAGTGACGTTCGACGGCACTTGGATGCGCAGGGGATAATTCGTCGCTGTATGGTGTGTTCGCGTGCATCTCCTTCCAGAGCGGCCGTGTACTGGACATCACAGTGAAGGGTCGATACTGTCACGAATGTAAGATCTGGACTGAGAAGAAGCGAAGTGGTGCAATCACGGAGGAAGCCTTTTCAACCTGGCTGGATAATCACAAGTGCAGCATAAACACAGCGGCATCTGCACCCGGTATGGAGAGTGAAGCTGCGTGCGATATTTGGCAGCGGTCTGTGGGCACACGCGGAGGCCTCATAAGAACCCTCTCCCAAAGGCTGTGTTCGAAGTCGTGAAGCCCATCTACATGCAGCTGTCCGAACGAAGTCTGCTGGAGCGCTGCCAGATGGGTGCAACGCAGAATGCGAACGAGTCGTTCAACAACGTCATTTGGAGAATGTGTCCGAAGGAAGGCTTCTGCTCCGTCGACACCGT